GAGGAAGCAAGAAGAATGAGTTTAATAAAGTTTGATTTATCTGACTGCTTTGTTTTGCTTAATGTGCCTTATAATCCCGTGCACCTTATGGTCCGAAAAATGCGTACTGCACACTGCAGTTTAATGTTGCAAAGCACCTCTTTTTAACTTCAGTGGATATTATACATGGTTATGCTCAGGATATGTCAGCCCATTTCTACTGGAAATGCCTTTTGGTTAAACTTTCAGCAAGGAATTTGCATTTGCACTGTTACATTTTTATAAAGCTTTAATGTACATAAAAACCAGCTTCTTGTTTAAGTGAAAATATATGGAAGGTTGTCTTTTTGCGCTAGTAATGTTGTGGAGTTGTATTTTGTCTCGCATCAATTATATCGTCGGTTATATCGTTATCGCAAATTTTCAAATATATATCGTGATAAATATTTTTGGCCATATCGCCCTGCTCTAATCATATGCATCTGTAATCTGATATGAGGACAAGGCAGCAGGACTATCCATGTCTTGAAAGCACCTGTGAGTGCTCCATCATCCATAACTGCTGACAGAAAGACCAATATGACCAGAATTTGACTCGTTTAGTCTTGCATCTGGCACACTCCCTCATGCAGACAAACACGGAGGAACGGACTCACTACAGTGCCCCGGCCACCTGCCGCCTGTTGCCATAGTTACCAAGTGCTTTAAAGGCAAGAGACAGCGGGGTGACACAGGACGAGACGGACACAGATGTGGATAAGAAAAGGCTGGGACAAAGAAGAGCTGATATAAGTGCATGCGCCGCTACATTAGCGTAAACACTGAGCCCATCACTGCCCATCTCCTTCTCTCTGCAATCTAGGGATGCAAAGCTACTGGAGTGGGTGAGCTGTGGTGACATCATCGGCCTTGCGCTAGCCATGTGCTCAGGTCTCACATGGCTCCGCGAGAAGGAGGGGGAAGAGGTTTGCAGGTTCACATGGGGAGAGGTGAGAAGAGAAAAGGACGAATGTGCATTAAGGTCCTGATTATGATCGCTGTGCATGGAAACACCATCATCAATCATTTGAGAAACCTGGATGTGCTACCCGGAGTACTAAAACACCATCTCCAGTTTCTGTTTTTGGCTCAGACCATCGAAGCTGAGATGAAATCATGACTCGCCTGCAGGCAGACGATCAGAAAATTGAAAACTGTTATGAGCGTGCACGGAGGGATATGAATAATCAGGCTTTTTATGCTTCATGGAGAAAGAAAAAAAAGAGAAGACCGGGTGTTTGTACGCATCTAAACGCAGTCATTCACCTACAATAAAGCCAGCAAATATTATAAATCAGAGGAGAGTATGCCACAATGAAACCATCAAAGGAAAACAGAGGAAAAGTGAAGCAATTCATCAGCCTCAACATAGTGTGATAAAGGAAAAGCATCCCTCTAAGATATTACCCAACCAGCTCCGCAGTACAGTGTGGGCTGGGGAAAATACTGCAAGCAACGCTGACATACACTAGCCGTGTGTCTGTAAAGCTAATGATTACTCTGCTTCTCCACAAAACTTCAAATGTCTTGCTGTGTCTGACAAATAGCCCCAAATCCTAAAATATCTCATTTATAATCCTGCAAAACGGATAAAAAGCAGCCGATACTTAATGTTTTTCTGTTTGTGCACACCCCCTCAAATATACTGATATGGCTAAATGATTTTAAAGTCACTGAATGTTACACGATCACCTAGAGGGATGGTCTTTCAAATAGTTCTGCAATTAAAATAATAATAAAAAAACAACAACAAAGTTTATGCAACTTCTTCTTCCCATCAGTATAACTACTGCCAGAATATCAAGACAAGTTAAACTGGAGGTGAAAGGTTGCAAACTGTGTGTGCAGTGAGGTTAAACACTGCTGTACAAACAGGGCACACATGAAAGGTTAGACTACAGACATACTGACTCACCTTTCACCCATACTAACAACCCGCTTTTCACTGTATATTACCTCTAAAGCAAGAAACGTGTATCTAATATGTGCTGTTTGTGTTTCCTCAAACGCAGCTAGGCTCTGCCTAACAACCATCATCATCTTAAAGATGGCCTGAAATCCCTCTGCGCTCTGCTCCCTGGAGAGCAGCCCATGAACTTGCAGTCATCTTGTTTTGAATAAATTCCCTCATCTCACGCCCTAATTTAGCTCCTTCCACTGACTTTCCGCTGCGTATTTCATTGGACTCAAAATCTTAAAGCTTACACTGCAATAAAGTAACCCCCTACATAGACAGCAGCTCCAGCCTGACATCTATTTCTGCTAAAAAAAAAAAAAAGTACAAAAGTCCTCATTTGTCTACTTTTGCAGACCGAAAACTTCCCTCTTGGGGCTATACAGTCGTCCCTTCACCCAAGTACCATCAGCCTCCTGCCTCGTTGTGCAACGTTAGATCTTCTAACAAAAAAAAGTTGCCATTTTATCCTTTCATGTTATGTAGTTCCCACAAGATTTGCTGTGATGTGATGCAAGTCCAGGTGTGCTGTGGGACTTTGTGACAGCCTTACATTATTACTGCAATATACACGAAAAGTTAAGAGTGAAATGTTGAGTTGTTGTACCAGTAGTTTTTAGTTTAAAGCATAAAAATAAGTTAATTCAGTTGCTGAATGAAGGGAATTAGAAGAAGACACACCAAAGGCCCTGACTGAGAGGAGGAGAGTAATACGAGTGATGTTCTTGTGTAACTAACAAACAGTGCAAATTGGCCACTGCAAATTAGAAAAAACTAACTGTCAGTGAACAGTCTGGAGACAGCAACCCGTGTTACTTCAGCTGAACTGGAAAAGGAAAAACCCTGAGCCCAAGAACGCCATCTGTCAGAGAAAGTGCCAGGTGTTAACACTAGGGGTGCCACGATTAGTCGACTAGTCACGGTTACGTCGACTATCAAAATCGACGACGACTGATTTAATAGTCGACGCGTCATTTGAAGCTTTGTAAGATCACAAAAGACGCAGGAATAAGTAGTAGGATTTAAGAGTGTAATAACAGACTGAAACAGAAGATGGCAGCACTGCATGTACAAGGATGCCAGCTGCCGTTAAACCCCGAAGAAGAAGAAGCAGCTCTGTCCCAGAATTCATAGCGCAGCCCAGCTCAGTTTCCAACAATGGCGGCAGCTAGTTAAACGTTTAACATATTTTCAGGCGAGAATGTAGCTGTGTAAACTTCAAATATCTGCTCAGTTTATCAAGACACCACATACTTTCAAAAGCGCTCCGACGTTTTCTGAGACGTCGGAGCGTCTCAGAAAACGGCCCCGGCTAGCTCGATAGCTAGCCGGGGGCATGGCTCACTAGAGCCCGTGAGAACACCGGACTCCCGGCGTCACCGCCGGCTTTCGCTACTCAGGTTAAACATGTTATATAAGTCACTTAGATAACTTAAAAATGTTATTGTTTGGCTTTTTTTTTTTTTTTTTTTTTTTGTTCCTGAGTAAATCTGTTTGGCTGAGATTAAAGTTATAGATTTTACACAGCTGAATAAACGTCAAGCAGACAGCTGGTTATCAGAAGTGTGAGATGCTGGAGAATATACTCCGGTGTCCTGTTATATTTTAGATAGCAAGGAGTTTATTAAACTTCACCGAAACAATCTGCAAATTTCATTACAATTTAATAAACTATCATCTTGTCTTTATTTTTAGTTAGCACATACCTTAAACACTTAAAGCTGTAAGCTAATGATAGTTATATAAGAGCAGATGCATGCTGGTGCAATAAGCTGTAGTTTTACGTTCAATGGATGATGATCTGATTAGTCGACTAATCGCAAAAATAATCAGTGTCTAGTCGACTATCAAAATAATCGTTTGTGGCAGCCCTAGTTAACACTGTGCCAAACCAGGCTAAAAAAAGACTTGTAGCTCTTTTCCATTAGTACCTACTTGGGTCAGCTTGGCACAGCTCGACTCAGTTTTTAGGCTTGTGTCCTTTAGCTGGTACCAGGTATTTTTTAGTCCCTACTCGGTTGAGGATCCAAGCAATCTGAGGTAATCCGAAAATATGACATTAACAGACTGCACGTCACTGACTGGCTAGACAGTGGCATCACTCGATGAGTGACAAGAGCGTCTCCTTCACAAAAAGGAGATGCTCAAAACCCCCATTTTTTTAAAAACCTCGGAGCGACAGAAATGGCTACAGAAAAAAACAACACCATGGCCACTGGGTTTGACAAAAAGCCACATACTGAGCAGCAGTTATATCATCGCCTCGACGTCCTCCTTTGTTGTGGCGTTCCTGTGGCATACAAATGACATCACGGGACTTTCGGCCATGTTGCTATAACGACCCCACGCACATTAGGTGGTACTCAGTTGTAATGGAAACCGATTGAAACAGAGTCGAGTCGAGTCAAGCTGTGTTGAGGCAAGCTGAGAAGGTACTAGTGGCTAATGGAGGAAAGCATGTTTCTGAGAGAAACTTGGCCTACAGTAGAAGAGTGCTTGAGCTGAACCAAAGTGTCTGCAAAGGTGATTGAGGCAAGAAATATGTTAATAAAGTTGTAACACTGTTACATAAAAAACTGCAGGCATCAATCGAGGTCCAGTTGCCACAAATGAGCTTTAGATGAAGTCCCTTCATCTAACAAGACAATCTAAAGGAGACATCCATGGATAAAGGTGTGCCTTGAACTTTTAGTTTCCCCTCTGATGTGACTTGGAACAAAAACTTTGAAAACCACCAATTTAGTTCAGCCCGTTTCTTTTCTATCCCTACATGACTACAGGGCAGTGTTGGAACAACTGGTTACCACTGTATAGACCAAGGTCTTGGAAACAAAGAAGCCTCCAAGTATTACATTATACTGACTGATTCACAAGCATGTAGCAGACACTGTATCACCGTCACAAGAGACTAACCACACCAATAACACTGGACCTATGACCTATGAGGTCCCCAGAGCTCAACCAGTTAATTGAAGTCCTGACAAAGTAACATGAAGAGCTTGCTGGGGAAAGCTGAAACTGTCCTTACCTGTATGTAACGCAAAGCGCTGCGGAGAACACTGAGGTTGGACGTTTTCTTCTCATCAATGTTCGGAACATTTTTCTTCAGTGTCTCAAAACACTCCTTCAGGTGCGCTCGCCTGAAGAGGCAGAAATGTAAGAGTCGAACTTCATATGGTAGTCTTTGCTCAACTGTGAATATTCACCATTTTTAAGACGGTCGATTCTTTGCGTGGGATTTTTACCAACAAATTTCAAACCTCCAATTTTGCATTTTTGATGAAGGATTTCATGGATTTATATTAGTTCAGGAACTGCCGTGACCTTTGCCCTCGTTAAATGCTTTCATGAAAAACACCCAGAAAATGTGTGTATGTGGAAGGCAAGTTTTCCTCAATTTCTTTCAACATGAGAGGGGTTACCATCATTTTGACTAACCTGTTCTTCTCCAGTTTATTGTGCACCTCTCTGGTCCCCGCCCTGGAAAGGCAAAATAAATAATCAACCATAAGCCGATCACTCTTTATACCTTATTTAACACACACACACAGACAGACACACAAACAAACTCACCCTCCTGGTCTCCTCTTCCCTTCCATTCCCTTCATTTCCTCCATGGTCATCCCGTTAGGCTGTGGCTGAGGTGTGAGTGGGGCCTGATGAGGAACCAGTGCGTGTTGGGAGCCATTAGTGCTGATGGGGGCCGGGTACTTGATCTGAACCTGAAGCTGTGATGCTCCAGGCTTTACATCTATCAGCTGCTCACTGGGTTCCACTTTGATCTGAGGGGAGCACAACAGTTGACGAGTCGCTGGCTGAGGTGGAGGGGAGGAAGAGTTCTTGACTGGCGGGGAGCTGTTGAGCGTCGCTGCTGCAGCAGCAATTGGCGTTTTGAGCGGAAGGGGCGGGACTGAAGTTGTCGCGGTGACAACCGGCACCATTGGGATGACTGCAATGGGGAGTTGACGAGTAGGTAGAGACGGGGGCGGTGGGACAGGAAGGTGATGCGGCTGTTGACGGTGAGTTTCATCACCCCAGGTGACATGATTGGCTCCTACTGGCTGAGATGGTGAAGCCACAAGTTCCACATGCTTTGACTCCGCCTCCCTTCTGATGAGCTCCTTGTCTTCAAGTTGCTCTTCTTCTAAAGGAGGAAAAGAAGTAAGTTAAAGTTAAATAAGGATTAACATCAAACAAGTAAGAAGAACAAGGATGGATGACTATCACTATTGGCTGATAACAGTCTTGTTGACTGTCGTCTACAATTACTGATGTCAGCAACTGAAATGCATCTGTTCTCTGTTCAAAGACAGTGTGATAAAGAGCTGAAAAGACCTTTAGTTACTTGATATAATAAAGATTCTCTGGCACAAAAGAAGAGCAAATAACTATAAAAATAAAACAATCAAACAGAATAAAATGCAGCCATCAGTGCCGACTATGAGCCAAGCTTTTATAACATCAGCCCAGGATTTCAGAATCAGCGTGACAACAGTAGTATGCAAGGAGACAAGCAGGAATGTGATGTATATGATAATCTGGCAAGACTGGCCTTTCAGTAGTTAAAACTAGTTTTCACACAGTATTTCTGCACCTTTTACTCATTAACAGGCTGCGTCATTGTCCAAACGTAGCACACAACACAAAATAGTCCACATCAGATTGGTTCTCAATACTGGAAATACTTCGTTTGGTTTAGGCGAGGGTGCTGTCTGAATAGAGCATGCAGGAGGCAGGACACACTACGCCCACTCACTCACTGTGGATTGCAACACAATCAGACGTCACACTGACTGTGTAGCAAGGATCTGGCAGGACAAAATCTGTTTAATGTTCACCTATGTCAGACATTTATCATATCTGAAACGCGCTAGGACACCACATCTGCAGTGGTCTCCTAGCGCATAATGAACCTCTGTGGGGTGGGAGGGGTATGCTCCTTATCACTACTGGTTCACATACAATTAAGATGTTGAGTCTGGGGTGTCGGACAGAAAAGGAGGTATTGCATTTTCCTCTCATTTCTGGCCATTTGAAAAAAGAAATGTATTGAATGCCTGAGTAAATTAACCCCCTGCTACATTTTTATCACAGCCCTGGTGAGTTTCCTTTGATGAAAAGCCAATTTTATTCCCAAAATCTGGAAAAAAGTGATCTGTGCTAAATGCAGAAAGCACTCTTCATAAATTCTGATTTCATTAATCACTTGTAATTTATCAACCAACATATGACCTATGTTCCCTACAGGTCCTCTTAGCAGCTTCACTGCTACGCTACCGAATCTGTCATGATGGATTTCACTTTGTCTGTATCATGCACACCAACACTTCCTGCACACAAACACGTACAAAGAATGATGTCATCAGAGAATGAGACAGTGAGGAGGGGCAAATAACCACATTAACTGTCTCTGAATCGGTTGCCTCACTGGAGAGAACACCCCTCAGTCTGCCCTGTGATTGGACCGGTCCAGCACTAAGAGAGCCTCTCGCCCTGGGCTGCGTCAGGGCGTCTGACCAAGAGTTGAGGACTGTTGTGAAGGAGCCATTCGGCTGGGATAACTAGAGCTGGCAGCATGACAACATACAAATGAAGCACTGTTGTGCTGCAAACAAAGGCAAAGACATCATTATGCAGAGGCAAAGAAACACACACACATACACACAGTGAGTGATGATATGAGTGAATAGTTACTGCACACTGTAGCAGGCAGACTAGAAAGTAATGTGGAAAGCCCTCAGTCACCATGGAAACAGCAGCATTAGAAGATCCCAGGGATTCCTCAAACCTGCACAACGCCAACACACATCCCAGCCACCTCCAACAAAACAGATACAGCACATGCCAAGATGCCTAGCTGTGCGTTAAGTAACACTTTCGTTTCCTCTCTGCGTGAGAATAAAAACTCCCGATGACGCAACCCGGGCAAAACGCCTGCGTAGTCAATGATACGATCACGACCACAGACATATTTCTAATCACTTCTGGAAGAATATATTCCTTTGAACAATAGGATTTGATAACAACAATGTTGAGAGAGCTCCCACAGAGTTATAATCAAGTTATCTATATACTGAGAAATCATCCTCCGACTCCTTCTGAACAGCACAGGCTGTCCTTCCTTTGATGCAAAAATCACTAAATCAACTGTTGATTAGTCAATGTTAAAAAATTAAACTCTAACAAATTTGTAATATTTTGAACGTAAAAATATTAAAGCATATTGCATAGTGGTGTCACATGTGAACACAGAAAAATTTGTATTTAAATGTTTGTTTATTTGCATCTTTAGTCACTTTACTCATTATATATATTAATAGCTCATTTATTTTGTGCATCTTATTGAGCTTTATTTCAGCTAATTTGTTAGAATTCTGGATAAAATAACAGGGATCTCCTAACTTATGGATTTAATAAAGTACCTACTACATATCGCTTTTAATCCAGTGTAAGCTTATTTAGGCTCCAGCCCCTCAACATATCACATAGAAATGAACATGCATAGTCGCAGTTTGAACATTTTCAAGTTTTTAGACAGCTTCTGAAACAAAAAAGCCAAATTTTGCATTAAAAAATTACATATCAATAATATAACAATTAAAACTAAAAACTAAAGTAACAAAATGTTTTTCAGTACAGTATACTCTATATAACATAGAGATGGTGTTTATCATCATGATTGCTTTCACATAGCTGCTATGTGATGACAAAGACTGAAAGTGAAAGAGAGGCTTTTTTTCTAAGTTCACATTGTAAAATCACACTGTAACTCGGAAAATGGAAATCCCTCTGTTACAGGCATAATAATACTAATGCAAAACAGTTTAAAAAGCACTTAATTACATTATTCGTTGTTATTGTTATTATTATATTAATAATAACAACAGTATTATTATTATGTAAATTATTATAATTTACGTCGCACGCAAACGTAAATTACATAACTTCTGCATTGAGGCTGGGCCGAGGAGAAGGGCGGTGAGCTGCCCTACTTACCCCCTTTTTCTCTCTTTGACCCGCCACTGTCAGCAGACTGAATGGGAAGGGCGGGGACGAGGAGGGTGTGTGTGCATGCGCGTAAGTTTGTATATTGGGGGGGGGATAGGAGGGGTGTGCACGTGGTAGCTGTGGGCGGGCCCTAGCACGCGGTAGGGTGAAGCACGCCGAGAGGGGGAAGGGGAGCGGGGGGCTGGTTTGCCTGACACGTCATCTGACGGGAGAAACACAAAAAGGCAGCCTCCCCCACCCTCTACACCCCCAACCCCCTTCATCCAGTTCAGTGAGTGATCTTTATGTCGATTGACAACTAATCGGAGGTGCACGAGCCAATATGCATAAGTTCGAGCACTGATATACAAATGAGGGCCGGGGTTAGCGCGCGAGGGCCCGCCCAAGTGAGTGTCATAAGATAGCTGAGCAATGTCAGGGTATTATGTAAAGAGCAGCCTCAGCTCGCCACCGCCCTGCCGGCGCTCGACGGACAAAAACTGGGGCAAACTGATCCAGGGGAAATTTTTCATTGGAAAAATATGAAAAAATAAAATTATAATAAACCGTTTCACTGCCGATTTTACAGATTTCCAAAAGCGCACGGGGGTATTACACAGTTACAGCGCGTGTATGAGCTGAACACACACATTAAGGACTTATATGACAATCACACAATTTATAAATGGACCATGGTTAGTCACACAAAGTCTCCTGTTCCTGCCTCTCACCCACACACACGCGCTCGCGTACGGTGAGTCACTGGAGTGGTGAAACTATGACTGACACACACACTCCCGAGAGCGCGCAAAGTTGTTCGAAAAAACAACTTTAGTCGTTTCCGCATTAATGCGGGGGAGGCTGTGCAATAAGTAAGCACCTGGGGTTTGGTGGTAGTTTTCTGTGAATCCTTCTTATTTATTTTATTTTTATGTTTTTGACAGGAACCCAAACAAACGCCTCATAGGCGGATCGATTACAAATGCAACCCGCTGGTAGTAACGGGTGTCGGTTCCTCAAAAGGGAGTATGGTATTAAACACACACACTGTACACTGCCCTGCACGTTGAGCACGAACCCCCTGGTCTGCTGTTCAACTCACCACGTGTGGTCTGTTGTTGCTGCTGGGCTTGCCATTCCAGATACCTGGCCGCCTCCAGAAGCGTATCGATGCTCATTGCGCGTAAAACCTCACGGCAGGAGACCCGGTAGCCCGGGACGGAAGGAGGAAAAAGACCGAGGGAGGGGGGAGGGAGGTAAGTAGCGTCCCAGTAGTAAGCGTCGTATGCACGGTTCACACCAGCCCTCCCAAACCTTTCGTCCCTTGGGTTTCTCCTGAAAGCACACGGGCGATTTTTAATCCGGCCGAACGGAAAGTAGATCCTCGCATACGTAAAAAAATAGGATGGCAACAAGATGGCGATGCGAGCACGGGAATACACACAACAAGGCGAGTCGTGTTCTCGTTAGGACCCGCCCCTCCCGGATTACTGCCCCGCCCTGTTACTATGGCCACCCACAAAATCCGGCGACCGAAGCACTCCCCATTCCTCCGCTCTCTAATTTACCAGCTTGTTAGCACCTTCCATTGTTCATTTATTAACATTCCTAATGGCATGAAGTTGAATTACAAGCTCCGCGAACAAAGGGTCTCCTCGTGTAGTGGCGTTATCCCCGCGGGATTCGAGAAAGGAAACCCCCGTAGCCGTAAACGTCCCTCCATGTTTTTCTTTCCGCCGCTGGCCCGCAGCGCATGAAGCCCGATCAGGCGCCAGCCAGCCAATCAGCACTCAGAACAACAAGGCATGGTGCTGGTCCACATGGGCACCCGCCCGGCCCGAGCGCAGCTCATTTGCATGGCGAGAGCGTGACTGGCCACCCTTTCGTCTCCGGATCAGAGCTGTCAGTCAAATCACCAGGGGGCGGGACTTATCCGAGGAGAAGCAGCTGACCACAATGTACTGTGATGTACAAAATGTTACTTAATTATTATTTTTTATAAAAACATACAAGTAGTTGCAATTATTTTCCCATAAAACCTATTTTACAGTAAATTATATTTCCTTTCTGCCATTTACCTCACTTTTTTTTAAAGTCTCATCCACGCTGTTTCTGTGCCACACACTGGAATAAAGAAAGGGGATGTTCCCTCTCTGTAGCTACATGCTCCTGCCCTTTGGTATAATAGATTTATGGCCATGTCTTTTGTTCTATAATGTATCCTTTAAGGTTCATGCAGTGTGTTTCTCTCAGGGGACCGATTAATAGAGTTATAGTGCTTGAAATATATTACAGTTACAGCGATATTTATGAATGTATGCTGTGTATGGATGCACATATGTAGAGTATGTGGCTGCATGGTAACAATCATTGATTGGACACTGCTCAGTCATATATATTCTCCACCGCACCGAGGTCTGAGAGTGTCAGCCAATCTGAAGAGCAGCTCAGAAATACATTTAGAGCTCCCATTGCCACGCAATGTGCCCTTCCTGTACATACAAACCTACTGACACCATTACGATCCACACGGTTAAGAGTCAGGTTTGTGTGGGAAAACCACAATAACAACTAGCCAGCGTAAAGTGACTGTGTGTGTGTGTGTGTGTGCGCGTGCGCGATGGGAGTCATTTAGCAACAGGCTGAGACACTATGACAGCATGCATGGACGGGAGAAAATGAATCAGGCAGAAAAAAAGGAGGGGGCTGGGGGCGAGAGTGAGACAAGAGGCCTCAGCACATGAGCTGCATGGTGAAAAAAAACTATAGGAGTGTTTGCATATAGAGGGGTGGGAGGAAAGGAGGAGGAAGAAGAGGAGGGGTGACTTGAAGCGATGGTGGGGAAGGCGGGAGGGATGCGAGGAAGGCACAGGCTGACCCAGTTAGAAGTGTTGCATCATTCCTGGATCTACAGACTGGAGACCAAAAGGAAGCAACATAGGGGAAGAAAAATTACTCATATGATAGAAATTTAAACTTCTATCTGGCAAGCATCTTAGAAAATTACATTGTGTCGTCAGTTAATGCTGATCACCTGAAGCGTTAAGTTTAATCTGAAACTTTATTTATAGCTTTTTGTTGTTGTTGTCGTTGTGAAGACAAAAACAACCTTTAAAAGTTATTCTATTTCCGTTTTCCATTACATTTATGTGTCCCCTGCTTACTTGCTGCTGCAAAGTGCTGGGAGGCAGCAGTTTTCGCCTCCTCATGTATGCTACCACCAGAGGGCGCCACATCCTGTAACATATCCATTTCTGAAGCTTTCCCGAACGCTCTCACCGGGCATTGCAGGGATTATAACACCGGTCACGTAAACTAAAAGGGGATTCATCTAAGCTACACTGAGCTGACACAGAAACCTATAAATTACACGAGTGCGGAGATCTTCAAATGCAGACAAATGCAGTTTACTTCTCCGTGGTTGAATCAATACTGCAGCATCTGACGTGTCTGTGTTGTACACTGACCTTGAAACCTCTCCGCACTTTCTTATCATGCCAGCTTATTTAAATCGATGCTGGCTCACAGCTCCCTGCAGCTCACTGTCTCTCTCTGTGCCATGAATCCATATCAACAGTCTCGTTACAGAACTATGTAGAAATGGGTGACCTAGAAGCAATATAAATGAGAAAGTGAGCCTTCTCCCCCGTCTCCCTTCTTCTAACCATCTCATGAAGTATTCAGCTTGCACGAGGGAGAAAGCGGGCAAAAGCCATATATGAGAGAGAGGTGGTGGGGCGGATGTAGGCCAGTGTTTCTACTCCAGTGCCTCTTTTGAGAAACGCCAGTTTCAGACTGAGACAGGTTTCATTATTCTTTCATTAAATCCCACGAATCCCCATTTTGGCATTTGCACCTACCCTTTGCAGTCCTCTATAGCTAGCAGTATTTGAGTACCCTCACAGGTCTGCAGGACAGAGCAAGGTGTGGTGGTTTGCTCTTGCCATCCAGGCAACTGTTGCTAGGATACCAGGAGGCGCAGAGGAAGAGTAATTGCTGTGTGGGTGAGTGAGCAGGTGTGTGTGAGAGAGCACAGAAGTAGGCTGAGGTGCCGTACATAATTGATTAAAAAAAAACAGGCCCTGAACTCTTCAGTGTAAGGAACTGGACTTTAAACTACTTTACACACACACAGCACCCAAACATCTCGTTTTTAAATCACATTTTGTGTCTCTCATCTTATCTTTCATTAAAGAAAATACTCGAGATTGATCCATTCCTTCTATTTGCATCAGCAACAGTGACTATATGACCTCCTCACTGGATGGAAGTCGCCCTGAAGAGGCTGCACTGTAGTGTCAGACTAACATCAGTGCTCCTGAGCCTGATAGTTATACATAAATAATACTGGCTGTCTACAGCTGCAGTTTTTCCTCGACTGACCCATTTCTTTCTTAAGATTTTAGTCTGGCGACCTAAAGTTAGCAGACAGGCTTTAAAATCTAAGCTGACAATGTTTAGTGCTTGCCGATTTACAAGCACCAACTGCTCTCCAAGAGCCAAAATACTTTTCGGATTAAATGACGCGTATGTTACAAATAAAACCAATAGCACAAACAAGTCTCCACACAATTGGTTATTTGTGTTAAATCAATTAAAATCCTATCAAGAAAGCACTTAAACACCTCTTCAGCACACAGACTACAAAGCTCTTACTTTGACATGCAGACTAGCCCGCTTTTTTTGACTATTAAAAGCAACAAGTGCAGCAGTTGCAGCATCCAATCAGATGCCTTTAATATCAAACGGACTGAATAATGTGCTGAAGCATCCAAACTTGCTCTTTGAGTTCTTGTTCCTCCTCCTCAAAGAAAGCACACACACGGGCAAGTTATATTTACAGAATTTTATTATGTTGCAAACAATGACATCCAGATATATTGATACACAACTTTTACTGTGCGTGTATGTGCATTTGTGAGTGTTTGTGTGTTTGTGTGTGTGTGTAAAGAGAGCAGTGAGACCACAGAAAGCAGAATGAAAACCCTGTGTGAGGGAGCCCTCAGTGGGTTAACAAGGCAGAGATAGCGAGCAAAAAAGAGGGCACTGGGCGATTTCTCCAGGGCGACGTACACACGCGCACAAACCTCAGGAAGAAAAAGGTGAGCCGGCTTATTTTCCTCTGTTAAACACACTTCTCGCTATGGGCTGTGTGTCTGTGCTCTCAGCAGCTTATGGATCATTAAGGTCCTGTGAGTGTCTACTAGAAAGCAAGTTTGTTAAAAGAGATGAAAGCGGCATGAATGAACACAGCGGGTGAGAAACTGCCTCCTCTCTCTCCTCTGACCATCAGAGCAGAGACGCTGGAGAGATTCTCCTGTCGTGACATACAAACACACACGCACACTCACACGACGTAAACACACATGTACATGTGCACTTGCACAAAAAAACAAAACTCATGAGATTCATCTAGGGAGCCGCAGCCTGCTTCAGTTTTTCATCTTCATTGTCAGCGTCGTCTCCTGGACAGGCTCCACTTTTCCCCACCTCCCTCACACTTTCTCCATCACCAACCACACAGTGACAGACCACAACAATGGAGGCATGGAGTAAAACAAAATTAAACTAAACCCCTCCAACAAAGAGGTGCTATTGGTATTCGTGCACTGTTAACCAGAACCCACCTAAACCAGCACACAGATATTTACCCTTTGACCCGACGGGAAGTCATGAGAACGGTATGCAAATTTAAATTTTTTTTGTTGAATTAACCATGCAAGGATACTTCTTATTGGTTTTTTTTTGAGTGTGTTTATGTGTCAGAGATTGCGTGACATTTATTAAGCGTACCCTACATCCAGAATAATTTACACAAAAGGACAATAGTCATCTTAATAGGGCTGGACCGATGTAGGGGAGGAGGGGGGGGGAGAGAGGGCAGCGAGGAGAGGGGAAAGCGGCCTTGGTCTACTATGGTTTGAAGTGCAGAGGGTTGGGGGTGGGCACAAGGAAGAGGGTGCAGGACAGGGTTGGGCTTTAGGGGTGGAGGTTGGGGGTGATTGAGGCAATCTCAGCGGCACTCCCACACTTTGACTGTCTGATCGACACTGCCCGTCACCACGTAGGGAGCAGTCTTGTGGAAATCTGCAAGAGAGGGAAACATCTGCTCAGACACATTCAACAAGTTCACACATCACAGAGTGAGCATCAGCTCCAGCTCAGGTTACAGAGCTTCAAATACAGACAGCTTCATCTTTTGTCACATGTTATTTATTTTTAAAAAGTGCGTCTCACCAAGAGAGGTAACAAAGTGTTCGTGGGCACTCAAGGTCTTCATGCAGCGTTTGTTCTTGTAGTCCCAGATCCTAATGGTCTTGTCATCAGCACAGCTTACTATGAATCTTCCTCCAGGGTGAAACAATATCCCGCGCACCCAATTGTCATGTCCCACCTGCAGACACAAGACCGATTAGCTACCACACTCCTCACTATTCACCCACTGTGCAGCGACACTGGGACTGACACTTCCGTTACTCACCAGAGTCATGAGGCAGATCCCGATGCTCACATCCCACATCTTGATCGTTTTATCTCTGGAGCCAGAGAGCAGGAAAGGCCCAGGTTTTCCACTCTTCTTATTCTATCACAAAGACAGAGATAGGACGAGGCCATTAGAAACAGTGTTTGGTTGCAGCAAAGATGACAGTGAAGTTTGGTATGTGTAAAGATTCCTTCTAAGATATGAAGAGATCATTTTTCAGCTATGACAACATGATTTAAGGCAGGATTACGCTGCTCTGTGAGTCAGTCTGAGCCTACTGAA